AAAAATGCCAACTTCTAGATAATTCAGCACCATTGATATTGGATCATATTTTCATCTCATAAAAAATTTTTAATGGAAGTTATTTTATTGATGCATGATTAGTAATTTTTATTTTCTTAGAAAATGCTCATAAATTAGCTCCTTACCACCTTTTCTGGAAGCATCATTTCTGTATGGCGCCAAGATATGTCCCCTGCATAGCGTTCAAAGATGCAGAAGACCTTAGGAATCAGCACCGGGTAGCCATCGCCATTAGCATAATAGCCGTCCATGTACTCGGCGTTGGACGGACAGTCAATCATCGGCACAAGGGAAGATGATAGTGGCCCGAACCCGTACTCTCCATTGTCGAAGAATGTTTTGAAATACCACTCCTCCGATGGGTCCATATAAGGTACATGCACCTCCGAGACATATCCTTTGTAGAGAACGCTACGATATTTGTTTCTCTCCCCATTCTCGACAGCGACTGAGGCATCGGATATCACCATACCAGCCCGAGTATCAAATCCCACATGGAAAGCCCAGTTTGCCCATCTGTTCCACAAATCCAGTTTAGTTAAAAATATTCTATAGTTGTCTAATTTAAGAGAAAATATTAAGTGTATGTGTGAATGATTATGTGTATTTTTTCCTATTTTAATGTAATGTATTTGAAATTTGTATTGATAAAAAAAAGCCATTTTTTTCTTACTAAGTATAAGTTTAAGAGGGCTGGTGAATGGATACAATAATAATGTATAGTTCATCTAATTTATAAATAAATACTAAATTGTTTATTTAGATGGCTCAGTTTATGTAATATTTATAAATAAAGATTAAAATTGATTATTAAATTATGCAGCCAACTTTAGCTGCCAGCCTGCCAGGTGCCAACCGATGGAATAAACCTTTGGTTGTTTTGCTCTGTTTGAAGAACGAGAGATGGAGCTGGTTTAATGACCTGACTATGTTGCCATTGATTATAAAGCCCTTCCCCTCCGGCTGCGCCACCACCACCTGCTTCCCTCTTGGCCCATAGGGTGGCATCTGCCTCGAAGCCCTGTAGTCCGTCCCAGACGCCGCCGGCACCTGAACAATGAAACGGTCCTTGTACTCCATAATTTCCATGGCTTCCAAATCAGCCAACATTGTTATCCCCTCGAGAGGCCTCATATAAATATTAGGCGTTTCGCCAGCCACAAAGCACTGCAGCTTGATCAGTCTCCGCCCTTCCTTCTTGCCGTACCACCCAATGGTGAATGTGCTGCAGATGATGTCGCTTAGCTCAACCCCTCTCCTTTTCACAGACTCCACAAAGGGAGTGTAGTTGAAGGGTAGCAATAACACAGCATCCTGCTCCTCCATGTTAAGCAGTGGGTAGCCATTTCCCAAGCGCACGTGCTGCGACGCGATACAGTTGTTGGCGATGTCGATGTAGAGCTCATGGGTTTGGCCGCCGGAGCGCAGTATTACGAATGCCTGGCGAGGAAGGATGGGGTGGGCGGCAGGCCTGGACTTCCATGAGAGGAAGGTTGCTTTGTCGGGTTCTTCCAGACCGACGTAGTGGAAGCCCGTGCTTGAATTCATGGAGGAGCCGAGCGGAGAGGATTTGATGATGCTGCGGATGGCGGAGATTTCAGAGGGCGTGAGTGGATCAAGCGGGTGCGGATGACCCAATGATAGGCAGAGCAAGCTGAGAAG